AAAGGTTACCCTAGATACACAAGCTGTGATTTTTAACAATTTAAAAAAGACCTAAAGTTAGGGATTTTTCAATAGGTAATATTGCCCCAACGCCCAACCAAAAGGAAACTACGATACCAATCAAAAACATACTAGTAGATACTGGACGGCGAAATGGATTTTGGAATTGATTGACATTCTCTAAAAAGGGTATTGTTAATAATCCCGCAGGTATTGAAACCATTAAAAGTACACCCAATATTTTATTGGGTACTGTACGAAGTATTTGAAAGACAGGAAAAAAATACCATTCGGGTAGGATTTCTAGCGGGGTCGCAAAGGGATCAGCCGGCTCGCCAAGCATTGCGGGCTCTAGAACCGCTAAGCCAACATTACATGCAATAGTACCCATGATGACAACTGGAAAAATATATAAAAGATCATTCGGCCAGGCTGGCTCCCCATAATAATTATGACCCATCCCTTTAGCTAATTTAGCTCTTAATAGAGGGTCGTTCAAGTCAGGTCTTTTTGTTATTGGGATCGGTGAAATCTAATTGATTCATCCTCCGAAAGAACCGGACATGATAATTTTTAATCATCCAGCTCGAGCAATACTAAAATAAAAATGGACAAAATAAAATCAAGTTCTCTAGTTATTGATACACAAATTCTATAATAATGCTAGAAAAATTCAGTGAGTTGTAAAAATATTCAGTTTTTTTTCTAAGTAAATACTCAAGCCCCAAGTTGGCTATGCGCGCCTGTGCTTTTTGGGTCGTCTCACACCTCGATTTAATTCAGATTGGTTGCAAACCCCTCTCCAAGTTACAATAAAAAAAGGTTTCCTTGTTCCTAAAAAAGTCTAACCTATGTTCTTCGTTAGATCTATTAATTTACTCCGATAGTATTTTAAAGATGAAGCCAATGTAGAGGAAATAACTACATTTATATACTACAGTTTGTTATTTCGATTTTTTTTATTCTAAATAAAAAAATCGAACTATCGACCCACATCACCCCCCTCCCACAGCCCAGTCAGCCCACCATCCCCACTACCCACCCCATGGTAACCCGGTCTAAAGTCGGCATATCCAAACCCAAACACGTCCTTAACCTTAACTCCATGGCCCAAATATCCCCTCTCCCACCCACCTACCGTAGTGCACTCAAGGACCAAAACTGGTACAATGCTATGTGTGATGAATTTAATGCTTTGATTAAAAATGAAACATGGGAATTAGTACCCCCCCCTCCCCCACCCAAAACATTATCACCGGAAAGTGGCTTTTTCGCCATAAATTTGGCCCTACAGGTGAACTCTCCAGGTACAAAGCTCGATGGGTGGTTCGTGGATTTAATCAGCGCTTCGGAATCGACTACGATGAGACTTTCAGTCCAGTTGTCAAACCTGCCCCGGTACGTATTGTTCTCACTCTTGCACTCAGCCGGGGATGGTCCATTCATCAGCTAGATGTCAAGAATGCTCTCCTGAATGGGACACTTCACGAGACAGTCTATGCGAGCCAGCCCTTTGGTTTTCAGGATTCAGCCCGGCCGAATTATGTTTGTAGGTTGAAGAAGGCCCTCTATGGCCTCAAGCAAGCCCCCCGCTCCTGGTACCAGCGATTTGCAGGTTTTCTTCTCACTTTGGGCTTACGTGGTTGCAAGAGCGACACATCTCTCTTTGTCTACTCCCAGGGAACTGACATGGCCTATCTTCTACTGTATGTGGACGACATTGTTTTCATAGCCTCCTCCCCTGCTCTCCTCACATGCCTGACTCAGCAGCTTAAGGGGGAGTTTTCGATGACAGATATGGGGGATCTCAATTTCATCCTCGGCATTAATGTCCAGCGCACTGCTGGGGGACTTTTTCTTCATTAGACACAGTTTGCACACGAGATCCTTGAGCGGGCTGACATGTTTCACTGCAAGCCTATCTCCACCCCGGTTGACACTAAGGCGAAGCTGTCAGCCACGTCCGACACACCCCTTCCGGATCCCACCATCTACAGATCCATAGTTGGAGCCTTATAATATCTGACATTCACCCCTCCCGATCTCACCTATGCCGTACAACAGCTTTGTCTTCATCTCCATTCCCCCACAGCTCTCATCTCACGTCTATGAAGAGGGTCCTGCGCTACATCCACGGCACAGCCACCCATGGCATCACTCTCCACCGCACCAGCACAGATTCCTTGTAGGCATATTCGGATGCTGATTGGGCAGGATGCCCCGACACTCGTCGCTCCACATCTGGGTATTGTGTCTTCCTTGGGGACAATCTCATCTCTTAGTCCTCCAAGAGACAGACCACCACTTCTCGCTCTAGTGCTGAGGCAGAATATCGCGCCGTGGCAAATGCGGTAGCGGAGGCTAGCTGGGTCAGAAATCTTCTCCTTGAGCTTCATCAACCTCTTCGACGTGCTACACTGGTCTTCTGTGACAATGTCAGTGCGGTATACCTTTCGTCCAATCCCGTCCAGCATCAGCGCACCAAAACATGTTGAGGTCGATATTCACTTTGTTAGAGACAAAGTTGCCCTTGGTCATGTTCGAGTTCTGCATGTTCCCTCCTCTTCTCAATATGCTGATATCTTCACCAAAGGGCTCCCGTCTCTCATATTTTCCGATTTCAGACACAGTCTCGGCGTTCGACCGTCACCAGTCACGTAGTTGGGCGCATGTTAAATATAGTATGTATATATTTAATATTAATGTTGTAATCATTGTTAATATGGTAGTTTCCTTGTATAGGATTCCTTCCGTAGTTAGGATTCCTTTGTACTATTTATACGAGGCTTAGTCCTCCGTTATCATTCATAGAAATTAATCATTCTTCAATGCATTCCCCATGAGTTGATGCGATAACCTTTTAGAATTTTAATTGACCTCGCAATCTCAAAAGGACTTCAAATAAATAATATGGATGTCGTTACAACATACTTATAAGGGACACTTGAAATCGAAAATTGTGTGATAATAATCCTTGAAGGATTCAAAATGTTAGAAGCAATAAAATTAATACATCGAGATATGTGTGAAGAGATTGTGATATGGTCTCAAGAAATTTGGTCATATGTGGTACAATTGACTCATTGAATATCTCGAAAAAGAAATATACAATTTGAAATCAAACTATGTGTAGTCATTCAAGGATTGCTCTCAATATTCATTATTATAGCAGTTTACGTTGACATATAAATATCATTAGATCTCTTGAAGAGATAGAAAAAACCGTTGAGCTCTTGAAGAGAGAATTTGAGATAGAAGATCTTGACATAACATAAATTACACTTTAGATTGTATTTTAAACACATATATGATGGGGCATTTGTCCATAAGTTAAACTACATCAAGAAGATGTTAACAGGTTCAAATATGGATAAAGCTCATGGTTGTTCACTCCTATATATACATAACATTGTAATCGCCTCCAAGAAGAGGGTGAAGAAGTACTTGGTCTTGAAGTACCAAATTTAAATGTGAAATTAGACAGGTAGTATGTTCACATATGCTGATACAACATTTTCTTGGAATTTGATTGAGCGAACATGAACAACAACATCGAATCAAGCCAAATTGATAGCATTATACGATAGTGATCAAAAGCAAGCATGGTAGAGATTGATGATCGATCCCATACAAAGAGCATCCGATTTGGAAGAAATTAAGAAGAATCCTGTGGTTATATATGAAGACAATGCAGCATGCATAACTCAGATCAAGGAAGACTACATAAAGGGAGACAAAACGAAGCACATCTCACCAAAGTTTTCCTCAACATCTGATATGCAGAAAGAATGAGAGATCGATGCCCTTAATGTTAAATCAAGCAAAAATTTTCCAGACTTATTCACCAAATCTCTGCCTAGACACAGTTTTGAGCAACTCATGAAGAAGATGGGACTTCACGGGCTAAAAGAGATAAATTAGTTTAAGGGGGAGTATACTTTTATTTTGAGGGAGAACATTATACACGTTGTACTCTTTTTTTTCTTAACTAAGTTTTGTCCCATTGGGTTTTCTTAGTAAGGTTCAACATAACTGATCATGTAGTATCAGTTAATACAGGTCCTAAAGAACCTAGCCAACATTATCCAGCAGCATAATGTTGTTAGTGTATAATGAATGATTATATGTCTGAGGGGGAGAGTTAAATATGGAAGATATATTACTCATATTATTTAGAATATTTGTTTCCTTGTTTACCTTGGCTTTACTTCATCCCATGTATGTATAACTACCCCGACCTATGATGAATAAATGACTTAGTTTACAAGAAGTTATAAATTATTAAATATTACATTAGTATGTCTTCTTTTATTGATATATTTCAACAAATAATTTTTTTGACGTTCTATCATTTTGTATTAAATTGAGGGCTATAATTTCATAATAATTATACATCTTTCTTGTCATAGCTAATGCAAATGTCAAATTGATATCAAGATAAGTCACTAGGCGTAGGGTTGCTATGAAATTAAATTTTAGCCCTCAATTTAACACCTAAATAATAGAAAGTCAAAAAAGAATGTACATATAAAGGTATCAATAAGAGAAGGACCACTAATGTAACATTTAATAATAGAGAATTAAATATGAAAAATTTCTTGCTATAAAGAACGAAATATAAAACTTACTCAAAAAAGTTTAATACTCTTGTGTCCCAAGATAAATTTCTTACTCGTACTTTATTTTGTTGGTTGTTTAAAAATAAATCTTTCATTTCTTTTAAGAAATAGATTGGGCGGCCAACAATCATTATTTTTTTCATAAATCTCAATCAAACATCTTTTGTTTTCTTAATCCACCTGAAAGTCAATCAAATCAAAAAAATCATTTTCTTGGGACAAAAAGAGTACACTTTGGATCCAATCAAATAGACAATTTTTTTTGTCTTTCTAGAATTTTTTAATTATTTAATCCATATAAATGTTAAATATATTCAATATATTTAATAATATATTGTAATTATTATAGTTACCATGTATAGTTGGTTTCCTTTATGATATCCTACCATTAGTAGGATTGAGATACTCTGTATATATGAATGTAAAGTTTCACACAACTAATCAAGGAAAATATTCATTCTTCATGGTTTCGAAGACATTCTAAAACCCTAGCCTCTCGTCTCCTTCCTCTTTCTACCGATTGCACCTCTTGATCGCAGACCTAGCGGTGATCTCCTCTTAGCCGACAATAACTGACGCTAAGTCTCCCCTCCCTCTCAGTCGTCGATCTCCAACGCTGACTTTCTCCCTCAACACCAGCTTCTCCCCAACGCCACAGGCTCCCTCGTCAGTTTCTCCTCTATCTCTGTCTCTTTTGTCAGCGCTAGCAAAATCTTCAACCTAGCAAAAGCAGCACCGTCGGCCTAGCCTCTTCTCCAACTGATCCCCTCTGCCTCTGTGTCCAGATCTCCCGATGCCTGCATCTCCCTTCGCCCAGCGCCCCTCTACACACGGTGCTATGTCAATCTCCGAAAAAATAACAAAAAAGTCTACATCTTCCTCATCAAATACTCCTCATATTGCCTTCCCCACCATCTCTAATGTCACACTCCATGTCCCGATTTAGTTAAGCTTCTCACAACCTAATTACAAAAAGTGGAGTTTGCCTTTCCTTGCTTTTGGTATGCCGACTTAATCTTCATGGCTTTCTCTCTTGTGCTACTATTCCCTCGTCTGCTAATGATGACGAGTGGTTCCAACTTGATGCCCTGCTACAAGGATGGATTCTCTCTATTGTTGCTGATGAAGTCTCGGATCTGATTATATCTCGTGTTTTACCGTTGCTGATCTTTGGCATGTGATTCATGATCTATTCCATGACAACAAACACGCCCGGGCAATGCATCTTGAACACCAAAACCGCACCACAGTCAAAGGCATAATTTCTATGGCTACTTATTGTCAAAACTTGAAGAATATTGCTGGTTGGTTGGACGATGTGGTTGCCCCGATCTCGTTATCCCAACTTGTGCTCCAACTACTTCGTGGCTTGCCGGAAGATCAACATGCACAAACTTCCTTTATGCAAATCCAACAGCTACTGCCCACGTTCCTTCAAACCCGGTCGGCATTGATGTTTCTTGATTGACGACGGAACTTAGAAATTGATGGAGCCGGAACCACCCTATTGGCAGGCCAAACCGGTGGGCAACAGCAAACAAGCAGACAACCGCTGCGTGGCGGACAGAATGGTGGCGGCAATGGCAGTAGCCATGGGTCGTACATGTGCAACAACGTCCGAGGCGGAGGTGATTGTGGACGCAGACGAAGATGGAATTCTAGATCGCAACAAAACCCATATAACGGTGATGTATCTTGGAACTCACCTAACTTGAGCCCAACCCTGGGTCTTCTAGACCCTCATCCCTCACCCCCAAACCACTCTCACAATGCCTTTGCTTATTACTCTTATCACCCAACCCCATTTCCTTCCCCGTATGGCCACCCCAACCCTACACCTCCAACCTACTTGCCACCATATACCCCACTTCCCCCATATCTGCAACCCCCAAACCCATACTTGCAGGCTCCCCATCCCACACCCACAACCCTAGCCACTCAATTTGATACCAGGACCCTTCGGGAGCCCACATGGTACATAAACACGAGAGCCTTACATCATATCGCCTCCAACCCAGGTACTATTTCTCACGTTTCTTCCCAAACTTTAAATTCTCCATTACATATCACTGTTGGCAATGATTCTAAGGTAAGCAGTATGGTTGTTGGTAGCCACACCGTCCCCACATACCACCCTACACCTCCATTACATATCACTGTTGGCAATGATTCTAAGGTAAGCAGTATGGTTGTTGGTAGCCACACCGTCCCCACATACCACCCTTTATCCCTTAATAATGTCCTTATCTCTCCACATATTATCCATAATCTTATTTCTGTACGCCAGTTTACGCGTGAAAATCATTATTCTATTGAATTTGATCCTAATGGTTTTTATGTGAAGGATCTATGGACGGGAATCGTGATACATCAGTCTAATAATACCGGCCTGCTCTATCCCTTGCATCACACGCCTCTGCCCAAGCCCAAGCTCAAAGTGTGACCGCTGACATTCACACATTACACCGTCGCCTGGGCCACCGCAGTTCTGCTGTACTTTGTGGCGTCTCTAGTCTTTCCAGTTTATTTAAAAGTTCTTGTCATAATTTATGTCATGCTTTTCAATTGGGAAAAATGTTCGTCTCCCATTTTATCAGTCATGTCGTGTTTCATGTTTTCCTTTTGAACTTCTACATACAAATTTATGGCAATCCTTTATCCCCAGTGTTTTTGTTTTTAAACATTATATGTTACTTCTGGTTGATTTTTCACATTACCTCTAGGTGTTTCCTTTAAAACACAAGTCTGGAGCTTCTGCTCAACTTAGCACTTTTATTAATTATGTCAAAAATCATTTTGACACCACCATCAAATCTGTTCAATGTGACAATGGTACAGAGTACCACAATTCACATCTAAAATCCACTTTTAACTCCTTGGGTATTTTGTTTTATTTTTCTTGTCCCCACAACAGCAAACAAAACGGTCGAGCAGAGGGCACCATCCGCACCATAAACAACACCATCAAAACTCTCCTCTTTCAAGCACACCTCCCGCCTGAATTTTGGGTGGAGGCTCTTTATATGATAGGTCATCTCTTTAACATATTACCAACAACCACTTTACAAAACCAAACTCCCCACCAATCCTTTAAAACTCCCCACAAACCTACTTTCACCTTCGTGTCTTTGGTTGTCTGTGTTACCCCCAACATCTTGGCCACCGCCCCACATAAACTAGCCCCACGCTCTGCTCGGTGCATTTTCCTTAGTTTTCCCTCCAATCAACGTGGGTACTGGTGTCTTGATCTCCATACTTACAAAGTCATCATCTCTCATCATGTTATCTTTGACACATAGATGATGATGAAGAAACACTTATTTGGTGTGAAGCCCCCTCTGGAGATTTCACCCTTGGAAGTGCCTATGAGATTTGCAGATCTAAATATAATCCTTCACTCGCATTCAAATGTATTTAAGAATCTCCACAAACATCAAAGTTAAGTATCTTCATGTGGAAGCTCTTACGTAAATGCCTCCCGATCTTTGAAAATCTTAAAAGGGTTGGTTTTGCTCTTCCTTCCATATGCCCATTCTGCAAAGCTACGAGCCTCACAGCGAAAAACTCCTTCATTGATTGTTATAAGGTGGTGGATATATGGAGACACTTCTCTAGATGCCTAAACTTCAACCATGCAGATTCACCTACTATCAACCTGCAGCATTTTATGAACTGGTGGTTGAGTGATCCCCTAATCTTTATGGGCTTCTCTAAAAACATCTACTAGGTATCATCACTTGGCACATCTGGAAGAAGATGAATGAGATCACTTATGGGGATAGTTCCAGTTCTACTACTTAGAGCCTAATTCACCAGATTGCTTCTTACACCAAGCAATGGCCCTCCATTAAGACCCCGTAAACTACAACATTTTGATTCCCGATTATCAGGGCATAATCTTATACCCAAGTTTACACCTTCCAACTCTGTGTGCATTGTTAAATGGGAGGGACTGCTTACAGGACGTCTTAAACTTAATGGGGATGCTTCTTACACTGAGTCACATCAACGAGGTGCAGCAATCTTAAGGGATGAAGAAGGAAGACTTGTTCATGGAGCCTCTTTCAAACTCAGCTCTATGAGTGCCTACTAGGTCGAGATGGAAGCTTCTATTAAAGCTATACGGTGGGATCTCGTGATCTCCACATCATTCGTTTATGAAAGTCATGCTCGGACTATTATATCAAGAATTCCTAAGCTTAAACAACACTCATGTTCTTCGTTCCCAATTGACATTTTGGGCCAGCTTATTCTTCATAATGACATCCATATCTCTCACATTTTACGTGAAGGGAATTTTGCTGCGGACGCTCTCGCAAAGGTGGACAAACATTTAGACTTCCCTATCAAGGAGTATTCACATGTTAATCTTTGCGCTAATGCTGTTAAAACTATTATGTTCCATACTTGTAACCCTTCATTTTGCTTTCATTAATAAAACCTGATGTGTGTGTGTGCGTGTAAAAATTAAATCTTTAATGTATGGAGTATGAAGCTTATTAAATATATGGAGTATTAAATCTTTATTAATACAAAGTATGCAACTTTTTAACAATTTTTACTTTTGATTTTCTCATCTCATTTTTTGAAATTTTGAAATTTTAAATTTTATTTTTTTATTTTTGATTTTTTAACTTTTTTTACATATATATTATAGAATATGTTTCCAGAGAAATGATTAAAAAAATTAATTTTTCTAACAGCTAAATCTCAAAGCTACTCTCCCTGGCTTTTCAGATTTTGGCTTTTCGGATAAAAAAGCCGAGTGAAAAAGCCATTAGCCAATGGTTTTGACTGTTCGATTAGTCAAAAAAGCCAAAATCAGTCAAAGCTATCCAAAAAGAAATTTCCAAACACAACCTAAGTAATATATAGGGAAAGACAATATGTTTTACTAGCATATTAGACAAATTTGCCTTAAAAAAACAAATATCTACAACATCAGCAATGAACTGATAGAGATTAGAGAGCTGAGAGCACACATAATAAGAGAAGTATAACTAAGAACACATTCCAATGTTCACATTCAAAACTCTCTCAATGTGCGTGTCACCGAGAGTGGTAGGAATCAACGGGGAAAAGCGGCAATCACCTCTTGCTCCAAAAACTGCAAAACCACTTGCATCGAAGGCCTCGCCTCTGGATTTGAATCCGTGCACCTCCCTGCGATTTCTATGACAGCTTCTACAGACTCCATATCTGCATCTGCGCATCTTCTGTCTAACACGTCTTCCACTCCATGCTGCTTCTCCTTTTGTATCGTATTCATCTGCATTATGATGTTCATTCCTATGTCAGCGGCGTTCTTGTTAGAGTACAAAAAATCTTTCGTGAGCTACAATATCAAGTTTGAGTTTTTGGTTGAGTTGGTTCCTTGATAGAGCCTCGTTGACCAGGACGGCAGGAGTTCAAAAGTCGACACTACCCAGAGGCCACGCCTCTACATGAGAGGGCGTGTTATAATATAAAAAAACCTTTCTTGTGCCACAATCACAAGCTTGAGCTTTTGGTTGAGATGGTTTCTTGACAATTCTAAACAGCAATTTGAATTTTAAGATAGTGATGATGATTGTGAAGCAAAATATGAACATGTGCTTAAGATGTGGATATGATGATCAAGGGAAAAATACCCAGCCAACGACATTTAGGCCTTGCTTTACAAACATAGGATCGGTAGGCCTCTTTCCAGTAACAAGCTCCAAAAGGAGAACGCCAAAGCTGTACACATCTGATTTATCCGTGGCTCGGCCGCTCTGCAAGTACTCTGCTCAGCAAAAAAATCATTAAAATATGATAAATGAACCCCAATTTTGACCCCACTTTTAACCTCGCCTTCTTACTAACATTCACAAGCATCCGGTGTTGTTATGTGACTCTGTGTAAGAATATGGGTGAAATGTGGGGTGCAATCATGTTCATTAGGCTTAAAGTTGTGACATGAGCATTCTCATCAACTAAAAGCTTTCTTCTTTTTTTCTCTCGAATGGAACTAGCAGATGTAACCCACCTGGTGCCAAGTAACCAAATGTCCCGGCGACCACAGTTGTGACATGAGCATCCTCATCTACTAAAAGCTTTGCCAGACCAAAGTCTGCAATGTGAGGCTCTAGCTTCTCATCAAGGAGGATGTTGTTTGCTTTTATATCACAGTGAACTATTCTAGGACTGCAATCATGGTGCAAGTATGCCAATCCTCTAGCAGAACCCTGGGCTATTCTTAACCGTGTTTTCCAACTTAATGACAAATCTTCATCAGCCACGTGTCGAGGACGAACTAGACAAAATAACAAAACATAACTCCTTCCGTTCCTTTTTATCATTTTGACTTTTTCGATACATTGAAAAATGGATGAATGTAGACATACAGTATGTCTACGTACATTATATTTTTCAATGTATTGAGAAAATCATAATGGTCAGTTAAAAAGGAATGGAGGGAGAGAGGGATAACATACCGTGCAAGAAGTCATCCAAGCTGCCCAGAGCCAAGTAATCATAGATCAGAAGCTTTGCATCGGGAAGACTGCAGTAGCCTCTGAGGTTGACCAAATTCATATGTTTCACACTACCCAAGACCTCCAGCTCTCTCTCAAAGACTTCCTCAGAACCTTCGCAATTTAGATCAATTCTTTTAATAGCAAATGAGCCACAATCATTCATAACCATTCGATAGACTGTACCGAATCCTCCAGAACCAACAATGTCTTCTTCATCAAGTGATTCAATCTTTTCAATAAGTTCGCATGAAGGATATGGAAGATCACCATGAAAAGTAACTATCTTTGAGCCTGTAGAGCATTGATGGTTAAAGAACAATAAAAAATCAAGTAAATGGGAAAAGCATGGTCAGTTTTACAAGTCATCCATCTCACATGCTTCTTTATGAACTTGCTTTTTGACTTCTGTGTATTTTTTTGCTTTCCTTTCCTTCTTTGATATCGCCCTAACCCATAGGAAAACGAAGAGCACTATGAACACAAGGCCTAATGTAGACATTGCACCCATAACCACTGCTCTAATGTAATGAGACGGTTTCTTAACTGGAACTGCATAAAGAATTACAAAGCATTATTATATCTTTAGTGAACGATTAGGGACAAGTAATACTCCCTCCGTCCCCAATTAATTGGTCTCTTTAATTGCGTATGCATTTTCATTGATCATTTGATAAAATAAAATAGGCATGTCACAATTTGTTTTATCGAACTTTTGATGTAGTTTTGAAATATGTAAGTTGTACTTTTTATTTCTATATCAATTTGTAAATAAAATCATTTAAAAACAAATGGGAATTTGCACGTTGTTAGAAAAGGGACGATTAATTGGGGAGATAGAGAGTATATGCATAACATCGGGAGCGCTTCAGACCCGGAGATTTTAGTTTTGTACTGCTGTAGATAATTACCTGATGCTTTGTCACTTTGAGCTTGAGGTAGAACTGCAGGGAATCCCAGGGAAGTTTTACACGGCTTGTTCACTTGCTGACCACACAGATCTAAGTTTCCAATGAACCTGAGTATATTGAAACAAATGCTGTCAGAAGTTGTATATGGTAATGACAGACACTTAAGAAAACATTTATTCAGCACTAACGTAAATGCCAATGTTGATGCTAAAAGAGACAAGAGACATGTCTTCACACCAGCTAGTCCTTCTCGGCAGTTTGGTCTATAATCTTATTGAAATTATTCGTTTTTGTAGTTCAAAACATTTTTTCTTCCAACCATTGTTTCATTAGTACAATTTTTTTATGGCACATCTGAAGGTACCAACAATTAAACCTGATAAGCCTAGCATTATAGTCTGTAAGATTGCAACTTTACTTTTTATCAGCTTGCAACACGGATTTCAGTAAATGGTGTAAGACCTAAAATTGTCTAACGGAAGCTTTGATATTCAATTAATAAATTAACATTTTAGGAAAACAAATGCAAAGAGAAGAAATGTACGACATAGACATAAGGGCACTTACGACTTGCTTCCGAAAGTGCTAATAGATCCAATATCTGGAATCTCGCCCGAGAAGAAATTTGCAGACAAATTGCTGAAGTATTTTGTGGAGAAGAAATTTTACAACTTAGGCACAAACTTGCTTCAAAGACTATTCATAGATGAAATCAAAAAGAAAAACTGATAATCCTACTCACAGATGCCTCAGAAGTTTCAGTTTTCCAAGTGAAGAAGGTATAGCACCTCTGAGAGAGTTGCTTGATAAATCCCTATATTACAATGAAGTCAACTTCTTGATAACATTGAGGGAAGCATAAATATCATTTCTCAAGTGTTACGTCTTAGAAAATTATATATATATATATATATATATATATATGTATGTATGTATGTATGTATGTATGTATGTATATATGTATATGTATATATATATGTATATGTATATGTATATGTATGTATGTATGTGTATATGTGTGTGTATATATATATATATGTATGTATGTATCTATGTTTGTATGTGTGTGTGTGCATGTGTGTATGTATGTATGTATGTATGTATGTATATATATATCTTACAATATGTTCAGCATAGGCAGGTTTCCAATATCCCAAGGTATGCCTCCTTGAAGATAGTTGGCCCTAAGGTACCTACACACAAATATATTCACTTCAGTCACAAGTTTATGAATATCATGTCAAAAATACCCCTCAAAAGTGAAATGGAACTTTGGGAATTACACTGCTCTCAATTCAGTACAGCAGCCTATCTCATTCGGAATCACTCCATGCAAGTTATTCCAGTGAAGCGCCCTGGTTTTATAGAGAGCAAGCTATTTAAATGCTTTACTACCAAAGTTTTGCATGTTTGAAGGGCGAAACCATTTTGAATTGTTGAAAAGTTCATGGGGACGATCTGTGTGCTAATAACTTTCAATGCCACGATGGGTTTTGCATTAAAACAATCCATGTGAAAGTAACTAGCAGTGTAAGATTTGGTTTAAAAGAAGGTCTGAAGCATTATAACCCTTGCACTGCTACACACACCCACATAAATATCATCCCTACACGCACAATTAATCTCACTTAAAGATAGGTGTGTACACCACACACGGAATAGGTGTGTACACCACACACACACACAATCACTATAGAACAGAACCAATAAATTCCCACATAGTTGGGGTATGGAAATGTGTAGCAAACCTTTTCCCTAAGAGATTAAGTTTTAATGCGGATGTTTTGTGTACATCACACACAGACATAATCTATTTTAAAAATTAAGTTTTAATACGTGTACGCACCCAAAACACATACAACCTATTATAAATTGAAGGGCTTACAGTCTTTGTAATCTGGTGAGTTTACCAATGCTGGGGGAAATGATTCCACCAAGTTGCATATGAGGTAAGTTGCTGCAGTTCCAAAAAAGAAAAAAAATATACGATTAAGGAACATGTAAACTAAGAAAACAACATAGCAGGTTCATACGCAGAGAGGAAGAGAGTGAAGAGAATGGCAGACATACATAGAGCTAACTCTTTCCTCATTAAGATGGCAAGAAATGCCAGTCCAAGAACAATGGGTTGAATCAGAATCTATCCAGTCACTCAGAGCATTTCTGGTGTCATTCAAACTCGCCTTGAGCTCCAACAGTGCAACACCTTCATAAAGAGAATAAACAAATACCAAACCAACATAAAGTTTTTGATTTTTTTTTCAATTTCGCTTTTCAAAGGCGCATTTTGGGCTAAGAATTACAAAAGAGTAACGCCAAAAGCTTATCTTTAAACAATATCAGGGAAAATTAACAAAAATTAGACAAGAAAAGAGAAAAGGGTAAGAGTAAAGAGGGCAAACCATCTGGACTGAGAGCAAGAGATGATGGGAAGAAAAGGGTAGCTCTCAAAATCGCTGAGAAGATCAAAATCCAAATGCCCATTTTCGTTTCGCTCCTCTTTCTCGGCTTTTTTTTTGAACTGGACTCTTTGAATTTGAATTTCTGAAGTACAGTCTCTCCTCTGAATTACAGCGTTATTTGGGTGTCGTGCAGAGTGCAGTGTAAGCTCACACCTACCAAGAATGTTTGGCTCGTAATGGTGGGGTGGTTACTTTTTCGGATAAAGCTACATGTACCTAAGTAATTTTTATTAATGCATCAACAGTTTGTATCAGTGTGAATCATCAAAATATTACTTCCTCCGTCCTAAATCGATCTTCCCACGTTGACTATATGCCATTTTTAAGGAAGTGTAAAATATGCATTGACTTTACCAAAGTGCCCCTAAAGTCCCCCACTTCACCCAACAATGCACAGATCTAAAAACATTCGTACCCATGGAGAAGCTCGCGCAGACCTCAAATCTCATAGCCGAAATCAGAGATACGGCGTTAGTGTCACCGGTCCGATCGGCAGATTCAGCCGGAGAGGTGCCGCCGATGCCGCCGTGCGACTCGAACAGGTGTGGGAGTTGCTGGAAGAAGATGGGGCTGGTGGCGTTCAATTGCAAGTGCGGGTTCACCTTCTGTGTGGCCCACCACTACCCTGAGACACACAATTGCAGTTTTGATTTCAAGACCGCGGGTCGGGTCACCCTGAGACGCTACCCTGAGACACCGGCAATTTCCTTAAATGAATTTAGAGAGGCGGAGAAGGAGAGGCAGAGAGAGAGGGGATAGATAGATCTAGGGTTTGGGAGGAGGCGAAGAGCGAAGGAGAGAAGCAGCGAATAGAGAAGGGTCGTTGTGGCGTAAAGGAGAGGGGGTATATTTGTCTTTACACTGTCCTTTTTTGGATTTGGGAAGGTATTTTTAGGACGGGAAAAAAAGGAAGTGGGAAGATGGTTTTAGGACGGAGGGAGTATTGTATATCTTTGATGTAAGTTTAGGGTACAAATTTTGGTATAAGTATAGCATGATCCTACTTTTTCAAATGAGTAAATTATTAATGGGTAGTTTCTGCAGGGGAAAAAACTTGACTATAAATTCCTACATATCGGATTGAATTCTTAAGGAAATATAATTAAATTCCGAAAATAAGGAAATATAATTAATAAATAAATAAATAATACAAAGTATTAAAAATAAAAAAAATAGGATCTAAGAAACGTGATTTGAAATCTCAATTTTTCTAAAAATATTGACGCTTTGTAGGTTACTTTGCACGTTTCTTTTATGGGGGTGGTGAGGTGGATGTGTAGCATTAAATTCCAACTCCTCACTCCATGGATGTGGAGCCATTACCTTTTATATACTCTTCTCTCCTTAACATTTTCTATACTACGCATGCATGAGAATATAGCTAAAAAATCTTCTATTAGATTACAAGATTTAACATTTCAAAAGAGTTTAAGAAAATCTTCTTCTTTTGGAAGGTATGTAATGGTTTACTTGTCCCTTTTTTGTTTCATTGGATATTTAATTACAAAATACTCCCTCCGATCCGTTCCCATTTTAATTACAATTTTTTTCTCTCTTCTCTCGATAACTTTAATTTATGTACGCGATTTTATTAAGTATTTGATAAAATAAAATGTTCTTGTCATGAAGAGAACGATGAACATATTAATCAGGAAACTGAGGACTTATAGGCAGCAAAAGGAGCAACGCAAGTGAGATGCACATATTTTATACACTTTTAGGCATATTTTGAATTAGTTTTGAGTCCCAATTGAATTTAATATCTGCTTTTTATTTTAATTTTCTGTTTTATTTTGGTAGAGCGGTCTTATGCTTGATTTTATATGTTTTGCAGATATTTTGAGGTCATTTGGACACAATGAGGATAAATGTAAAGATGGAAAATAAACAGGGAAATTTGGGACGAAAATAAAATGAAAGAGATTTGATAAAAAAAGAAGGAAATGAATAAAAAAATAAAGAAAAAAACGAGCCTAGTTATAAAACTCTAGACTTTAGGGTATGAAATTAAATCTCTGACCATCACACCATAACATAATTTTTGGCATTTTACTAACTGATATTCTTTATTCCATTTTTACAATTCGACCCAGGAAAAAGTGACAAAACAACAAAGAGTTTGAAGCTTCAACCACAAGTTCAAGCAACGCGACAAACAACCTTATTTCCATGCGGGCTACTGTACCTTTGTTGATATATAGACTTGGGACTATTTGTATATACCCTCTGCATACGAATTTATCTACAAAAACGTCTCCCTTCTCTTCTTTTAAAGAGTTTGACTCCCCACTTTTTCCCTATCTCCAAATCCGAAACTCTCTTTCTCTCTCACTAATATCTCACCACTTTCATCCTCCAAACACATAAAAATTAATCCATCTTCATCATAATCAATGTCATCTATTATATTTGGAGCTCAAGAACACATTTTCCTTTTTAAGATTTTTATGATTGTGATAAATATTTATTTGTTTAAGCTTCAAATTAGGAACTTTTAAATTCCATTGGGGTTTGAAGTTGGGGTAATTAATTGTCCATCTTAATATTTTAAATATTTTTAACATGGGATTATTGATTTTGTTTTTATTTAGATGTTGTATTTAAAAAAAAATAAATCTTGAATGTCTGTGATTATTAAGAGTCCGATCACAAACATAATTGTTAAAAGAAATTTGAATTAAAATTGATATAATCATAAAATACAATACTTTTTAAATACACCGTAAGTCTCTTATACCTTTAACCGGGATTGAAGACTTTCGGTGAACATAATTATTGAATTGTATTTTTGCACCACTAAGTTGGATAATTATACAATAAAATAAGAGTAAATTTCATAATTGGTCCTTATAGAATTTGGGATGGGTATGGAAACTTGGATTGGGTAATAAGACACTTGGGTTGAACCACATTAAAAAATTGAATCCAATCGATTAGTTAGTTCAACTCAAGAGCTTATATACCGATTAATTTCCTCACATTTTTCCGATGTGGGATGCTCTTTAACACTCCTCATCAAGTGGACAACCAGGCCATTTTGAAACTAACAGGTTGACCACTTGGAAATAAACCCCCATTCCCGTGACTTTTTTTAGTGCCAACACCTAAAGGACCACGAGCCGCTGGGTATGGACTTCTAGACGAGCAATCGTGTTAAACGGGTCACAGGCCGTTGGTTACATACCCCATACGGAACACTGGGCTAAAGACAAACGAGCCGCTAGGAATGAACGTCTAGACGGACACTTTGACAAACGAGGTAGGCCAAAACCTTCTCTGATACCATGATAGAATTTGGGATAAGATATGGACAACTAGATTCGGCTATAAGACACTTGGGCTGAACCACATTAAAAGATTGAACCCAATCTATAAGTTAGTTCAACTCAAGAGCTTATATACCGATTAATTTCCTCACATTTTTCCGATGTGGGATGCTCTTTAACAGGTCCTTTACAACAAGGGGGTTTCCATATTTAGTCTTCTATTATCAAATATTACCCTTGTAGTCATTTTTTAAGGGTGTCTTTCCAAAAATTGTCCCTTTTTTGATCTTCCTTCATGTGGGTGTTAATTTAAATGCTAAAAGTATAATTTGACATCAACATTATGTCTAGTGACGTGTTCTGATATTGGTTAAGCGGATAACATAAAAATAATGACTATGATTGTGGACTACGATTCCGACGGAAGACCACATTTGTAGATTATGGTTGTAGTAGAAAGCGAATGTAATTTACAAACAACGCAAACAAAACAACCTTTGGAATTGTGTATGACAAAAAATATATTATCATTGTGAAATTAGACTTTTAACCCTCAAATTAACACCAACATGGTATGTAATCAAAAAAGGACTATTTGTGAAAAGATACTCATAAAAGAAAGACCACTAGGGTAATATTTGATAATAGAGGACTAAATAAGAAAACCCCCATATTATAAAGGACCAATTATGGAATTTACTCATAAAATAATTATGGTTTCCGTTGTGACTAAATAATTACTTCGGATTTATCATTAGCGAGCTAAAGTTGTAGTAGTTGTTATTTAGGAGAACTATGAGAACGTCACGTACATCCCTAAATACTTTTCCAGCAACCCCACACATTCTTATTAAAAATAAATTGATAATCTAATTTTTATAAAAACATTGGATAATTAATTTACCAATTTCTACCCCTAATATTTCATTATAAAAAACTTTGTGTTGTTTGGAACTCTTTCCTTTTACACTTCTTATTTTATCTCTAAAGCAAAAAAGAATAAAAATATTTTACAACTTCTTTTGTAAACTTTTGTTTAAAGTAAATCAATTCACATCTGCCTGAGGTTTGACACCCTACGCACAAGGGTTTGACACCCTACGAAGAAAAAAATTTCACTTTTTGAAGTCATTTTATTTAAAAATCGGTATATCAATAAGAAACAAAAATTACATATTAAAAAACTACGTCAAAAGTTCTACAAAACAAGAGGTGAGAATAATATTTTATTTTATCAAATACTTGATGAAATCGCGTAAATAAACAAAGTTATCGAGAGAAGAGAAAAAAAATTATAATCAAAATGAGGACAAAGGGAGTATTTTGTAATTAAATAGCCAATTAACAAAAAAAGGGACAAGTAAAACATTACATACCTTCCAAAAGAAGAAGATTTTTCTTAGACTCTTTTGAAATGTTAAGTCTTGTAATCTAATGGAATTTTTTTGCTATATTTGTTAGAATGAATGATCAACGCTAGAGGTGGGTGAATAGCGTTTGATGGTAGAAATCGCATGAATAAAAAAATTTAAACGAGAAGTAAAGAGAAGAGTAAGAGGCACACCGAACTTACCCTGGTTCACCACAACTTGTGGCTAATCCAGCCTCCCGAGAGACTTTCTCGAGCTACACTACTATCTCGTTAAGCTTAACGGTGCTTAACAAACCCTTACAACTTGAGAATTCGAGTTACACGAACCTCAACAAGTCCTTCGAAAGAAACAGCCCTTCCTTCGAATCAACCAAGAGAAGTACTTTCTCTCAACGTGTCTTAGAACATTAATGCACTCAAGAACGAGACTCTCTTTAAGAGTAGATATTGAGTAAACTAAATACGCTCAGGAAAAACTCAAACTTCACACGAATTGGCTCTAGAAAGCTATGGAAATTGATATTGTTTGAATGCAATGATAATATGAATAT